ACGGCCCTGGAACACCCCAAGAAGGCTCCAAGTCGTCCCAGAGAGGCCCCCCAACCGGCTTCCGACGGCGTCGGATGGGCCAGGGGCCCACCAAGATGGCCCAAGATGGCTCCAAAATGGCCCAAAACGGCCCAAGAGGCCCCCAAGAGGTCTAGAAGACCGCCTCCAGGAAGGCCCGAAGAGGTAAAATCATTGATTTGCCTTAGATTTTTGAAGGATTTTGGCGTTTGCTTCTTTGTGGCCTTCCAGCGGCCCGAGGCGGCCCAAGAGCCCCCACATATTGCCCCAAGACCGCGCAAGAGGCCTGCAAGATGGCCCCAGAACGGCCCAAGAGGCCCCCAAGACTGCCCCAAGAGGGCCCCAAGACGGCCCAAGGGGCTTCCAAAACGCCGAGGCCTCCCAAACGGCCCTGGAGCACCCCAAGAAGGCCCCAAGTCGGCCCAGAGAGGCCCTAAAGACGGCTTCCGACGGCGTCAGGCGGGCCAGGAGGGCATCAAGACGGCCCAAGATGGTTCCAAGATGGCCCAAGACGGCTCAAGAGGCCCCAAGAGGTCTTCAAGACGGCCCAAGAGGCCCCCAAGAGGGCCTCCAGGAAGGCCCGAAGAGGCCAACATCATTGATGTGCCTTAGGTTTTTGAAGGATTTTGACATTCGCTTCGTTTCGGCCTTCCGATGGCCCGAGACGGCCCAAGAGCCCCCACGTATCGCCCCACTATCGCCCAAGAGGCTTCCATTCCAAGATGGCCCCATAACGGCCCAAGAAGCCCCCAAGGCTTCCCCAAGAGGGCCCCGAGACGGCGCAAGACCCCCCAAAGATCTCACCACGATTGCCCAAGGGGCCTCCAAGATGGCCCCAGAACGGCCTCAGAGGCCCCCAGAACTGACCAAGAAGGCTCCAAGACGCCAAGTGGCCTCGAAGGCGCCCAAGATGGCCTCCAAGACTGCCCTTGAGCACCCCAAGAAGGTCCCAAGTCGGCCCAGAGAAGCACCCCAAACGGCTTCTGACGGCGTCAGGCGGGCCAGGAATGCCCGAAGACGGCCCAAAATGGCTCCAAGAAGCCCAAAGGCCCCCAAGAGGCCTAAGGAGGCCCCCAAGTTTCTTCCCAGAGTCTCCCAGGAAGCTACCAGGAGGCCTAAAGAGTGCAACCAGAGCCCTCCACGATGCCCACTCCTCCTTCTACTAGCTCCGCCTCCTCCTCCTCCTCCCGATCTTCCCCGCCATCCTCCCCCAAGTGTTCCCCGACGAGTTTCTACAACGGCTGGGGGAACACATGGCCCGAAAGCTTGGCAGAGCTGTTGCCACTGCGCTCGGCCACATGGGCGATTTCAAAAGGCAGGGAGCGGCGGTGATTCGCCGTAGGCGACTTCGATCACAACAAGGCGAAACTAAGAAGACGAGGCGAGGATAATGGTACGAGGAGGAGGAGGAAGAGGAGGATGATGATGAGGAATAGGAATTGTAATAGGAATAGGAGGAGGAAAAGGAGGAGGAGGAGGAGGAGGAGGAGGAGGATCAGTGATGCCATGTTGGACTGTGAGTTCCCCCAGACCTCCTAAGGCTCTCGTGAGCCTGGGTAGCCCAAGGTACGGCCAACCCTCTTCGCCCCGTTCTCCTCCTCCTCCTCCTCCTCTTCCCCCTCCTCCTCCTCCTCCTCCTCCTTCTCCTCCTCCTCCTCCTCCTCCTCCTCCTCCTCCTCCTTCCCTCCTCCTCATCACTGTCCTTCCTCCACCTCCCTTCTCGGAGCGTGAGGGTAAACGGGGACGGATGAGGAGGTCGAGGTGGGGGAGGAGGATGCCTGGCAGGAGGAAGAGGAGAGCCTTGCACCCTGTACCTGGGGGGTCCCACTGGCGAGCTGGACAGACGGGCCCGTCTTCCGACCCCGAGCCTCCCGACCGAATGTGGAACAATTGGGGATCCCACGATCGCTTGGTGGCAAACCGCGCGGTGCCCCGATCCCACCCCGACGCAGAGCTCCCAACGCCCAGCACGGAAGACCAGACCGCCATGAAGAACAGCATTCGGGGGTCCCAAAACGGTGCGGTGACAAACCGCGCGGTGACCTAGGACCCCCCCCCCGATGACCTCACTGCACGGCCCGTCACCGCACGGTCGTGGGGCCCTGGACGCCCTTGGTCGCCCGAGACGTCCTCGAAGAACAAGTCTAAACACCGTGCGGCGACCCCGCCCCCCCCCAGTGACTCACCACACGGTGTGGCTACCCACCGTCTGGGGGGGGCCCGAAACAGGCAGGCCCGCGCCAATCCAGCGGACAAGAGGAGGCGGGGAGGACCCAGCGTGGAGAGGAGTCGGGGAGAGAAGGAAGGGAGGGAGGAGAGCCCAGCGGTGAGAAGGAGGCGGGAAGAGGCGAGTCGCCGACGACGTCGTCATCCTCGTGGTCCTCCTCGTCATCCCTCCCTTTTCTGCTGGTGCCGCTGCTCCTGCTCCTGCTCCTGCTCCTGCTCCTGCTCCTGCTCCTGCTCCTGCTCCTGCTCCTGCTCCTTCTCCTCCTCCACCTCCGTCTCCTCCTCCGCGCGCGTTCCCGCGCGTGCTCTCCTCCTTCTCGCCCTCCCCCCCGTGCTCGTTCCCGCGCGCGCGGGGGGCGACGGAAGAGGAGGAGAAGGGGGAGGAGGAGGTGGAGGTGGAGGAGGAGGAGGAGGAGGAGGAGGAGGAGGAGGAGGAGGAGGAGGAGGAGGAGGAGGAGGAGGAGGAGGAGGAGGAGGAGGAGGAGCGGAGGAGGGGGAGGAGGAGGAGGAGGAGGAGAGGAGGAGGAGGAGGACGAGGAGGAGGAGGAGGAGAGGAGGAGGAGGAGGAGGAGGAGGAGGAGGAGGAGGAGGAGGAGGAGGAGGAGGAGGAGGAGGAGGAGGAGGAGGAGGAGTGAGGAGAAAGAGGACGAGGAGGAGGACGTGGAGGAGGTGGAGGAGGAGGAGGAGGAGGATACTAATCAATATAATGATCGGGATGAGGATGAGGATGAGGATGAGGATACGGATGAGGATGCTAATGAAGATGAGGATTATAAGGATGATGATGCTGATTATGCTGGCACTGGTGATGATGCTGATTATGCTGATGATGACGATGCTGATGGTGTTTGTAATTTCGATGGTTGTGATTATGATGATGAAGATGATGAGTATGATGATGAATCGGAAGATGAGCATGATGCTGATGATGCTGATGATGGTGACGAGGATGTTGCTGCTGTTGGTGGTTGTCGCGAGAAGGAGGAAGGAACCACCTCGGTCGAAAAACTTGGGCGGCAACCACCGCGGTGCCCCGCCCGTCTCCTTCTCCTCCTCCTCTTCCTCCTCCTCCTTTACCTCCTTTACCTCCTCCTCTTCCTCTTCCAGAGGAGGCCCCAGGAGGCTTTACGAGGCTCGTGCGACAACTCGCCTGGGCACCAGCTCTGGATGAGCCAGTGGGGATACGCAACTCGACAACACTTGATGCGGATGAGGAGGAGGAGGAGGAGGAGGAGGAGGAGGAGGAGTAAACATTCATGACAGATGCACACAAGAATGGGGAGAAGAGGGGGGACAGGAGGATAACGACAAGGAGCGGGTATCGTGCCATTCCCCAGCCTTTAGTCCTTTAGTCCTTTAGTGACTCTGGCCGAAGTGTGGCACGCATGACTCACAATCCTTGCTAGTCTCTGCGCGCATGCACTTCTCTTGCGAGCTTCGACCATTCAAGAAGAAAGGTCAAGGGATGGGGGTCATGTAAGACGACGGTCTCTTCTAATGTCCCACCCCCCGACGCCACCGCGGACCTTGACGCTGTTTCTAATTCTCGGGGACCTGCTGACCCGGGTCAATCCAAACCCGGGTCAGTTGGGCTTTGCAGGATCCTGAAGGATCCTGCAGGGTAACCGGCGCTCTGACTGACACCCGTTTGCATTGACCCCCGCAAGGTCCCCGATAAGAGGCAAACGATACTGCCTCGTTTTTTACCGCCGTCGCTTCCAGACGATGACCAAACGATGCCCAACTACCCGTGGGGTGGCCCGCAGCAGTCAGCCTGCCTGACGAGATGGCGCGTAGTATGACTTGGCCTTGCCTGGAAACGAGAGCGGGGTACGTCACACACCCTCTGAACTTCGCCCCAAACCTGGAGGGACTAAGACAGCTGGCCGCTCCAACTTTTTCGATGCGTGGGCCCTGGAGTTCTGGGCCACTTCCCCAGGGGCGGTCTTTCGCCGTGAGTCATTTTTCCCAACCATCCTGTGGTGTGGGCTCGTTTTGAGGAGATAATCCCCGCGTCCCCCCTCTCCTCCTCCTCCTCCTCCTCCTCCTCTTCCTCCTCCTCCTCCTCCTCTTCCTCCTCCTCCTCCTCCTCCTCTCCACCTCCTCCTCCCGCTTCTCCCTCCTCCCATCGCCCCCCTCACTTTGGCACACCCCTCACACGTTTCGTGGCCCCACAAGGAGCTCCATCGAAGGCCCCATTGGCTGGGCCGCTCTTTCGCGCTGAGCCGTTTCTTGACGGACCCGAGGCCCGGAGGGTGGCCCCCACCCGAAAAGCCGAACACGGCCGACGAGCTGGCCGCCCCACTCTTTTTTTTCGGAGCGTCGGCTCTCTTGGCGGGAGGTTCGACGTGCGGTGTCGGGCGGCAAGTGCGCACAGGGGAGTTTCCTCGCAGTACCCTCTGTAGCGCACCAGGTTTCTTCGAAATTCGGCCTCGACGCCCAGCCGAATTTCGAGAAGCTCCCTCGAGGCCACCCTGGCTCGGCGGCAGAGGAGTTTCTCAAAACAGGTTACAAGCACGCAGTTTTCAGGGGGGCACACAGGTGGGGCAGGGACAAAGGTGGAGTTGGAAGGAAAATCGCTCTGGACGGCCGCTGGAAGAAGGAAACGCGTTAAGCGGGAGCATCCGGCTGGGCCCGTTCCCCAGTCCCACCCTGGAATAACCCTCCCTCCTTGCGAACCCCCGAAATTGAAGGAATCTCCACTGTGCGCACCAGCCGGTTGGGCGGGTGCCTTTGCGGAACTACCCTGGGGCGGCGTGCGTCGCCGCAGCGGAACTCCACCTCGCCTCCGCTCAGGTCGTGCTCCTGCGAGGGGCGTCCCGCCAAGAGCTGCTTCCGCGCTCCCGTCGTGTCGGCTGCACGTGAAAATGGCACTGGGCAAGAGCGACCGTCGGAGCGCGGCTTTTGGAGGGGGCGCGGGGGGGGGGGGAGCAAATCCAAGCGCGCAGGCCGCTGCCCATCGCACTGCATTCCGCGACCGGGGGGGGCCAGTGGGCCCGCACCAAAGGCCACTGCGGCGCAGGGTCACTCTGACGCGTGGCGATCGTTGTGGGGCTACAGGCTTTTCCCAGCTTCCTTCCAATCGCCGGCTCCAGATTCACCAAAAAGAATCTAAACACAAAGTTTCGGAGGTCCGCGCGGATTTCTTGGTTCTGCGCTGCACCCCCCCCTGGCGCGCCTCGCGGCGCTGGAGGCCGCGAACGCTCTGGCTCTTGCATCGTTCACATTTTCTCTTGGCGCCCCTTCTGCCTCCACCGATCCCCAACATTCCTTCTTCTCGGCGCTGTGTTTGCAATACTTCTATCACCCTCTCGCCTTCCCGCCAAGAGACCCCTCTGGCTAGCACTACCTGTTTTTGGTCGCTATAACGCTGATGCTGAGGATGTAACTTGCTCATGCAATGATCTCACGGATGCTGGCAGAAACATCTGGCCTGATACATCGGCCAATCGAATTGTCGATACTGCGTACATGTAATACTCAACTCAACGTATCTCTGAATCTGGGCCTTCTATTTTAAAACCAACCGCAATGCATTGATTAACGGGTCAAACTCGTTACCGATATAAAATCACCATGGCCCCCAACTCTGTAACCGTGATTGATTTGTGTGCGGCAATGAGCAGGAAGAGCCCCCGAGCAAAAAGGCGACTGCGCACAGCTTGTAAACCGAGCGACGCGATGGCGTTACTTGCTGGTTTGCGCTGCATAAGCTTGTAGGTCTCGTCCCAACTGGGTTTGCGCCAGCGGATTAGCAACTGTGCCTGGAGACCAGAAGCTAGCTGGCAACGGCGGCTGCGGCTGGCGCGTGGAGTCCCGTCTACATGGCGGATAACAGTAGAGCAACAAGGCGGCGCGAAGACGGCCCTTGGGGCCTGAGATCTCAGACGGGCCAAGGGCCAACGGCCAAAGGACGAACCCGCATCACCTTGCCGTGCCGTCGCCCCAACAGGCGCCGTGATACCAAACTGAACGCGGCTATGGCCATGCCCTCGCCGAAACAACGTAGGAGTGGACCGATACTTCGCTGCTCGTTGCAGACAACAACAGCTCTGCCTCACGTGCAGAGCTCCGGCAGATGAGAAGAGGTTGCACCGCAACGCCAGACATATTACAGACGCGCACCCACTGCCCAACGACAGTGACGACGCTGCACGGGTGCTCGCCAATCTCATGTGGGGCTTGCGCTGCCCGTGCCAACTTCCTGGATGCCCCCCCGGCAATCTGCCGTCCCCCGCCTGCCGAGGGTGAAACAGGCGTGCGAGGCAGCTTGCTTTCCCCCTCCCCCTTGTCCCCTCCGCTGGGGTCCAAAATATCAGAGTGGGGTGGGGGGTGGGGTGGGGGGGAGTTCGGCAACGCACCTCTGGGGCCCTCGCAGCTCCCAAATCTGCCCTCCTCTTGGTCGCCAAGATGTCCCAAGTGCGTTCCAGTATGGCACCAGACGGGCTCCATCACGCGAGAGAGGCCAGAAAAACGTCTAAGATGGCCTTAAGACAGCTCAAGGCGCTCCAGGAGGACCCCAAGGGGACCCCCAAGAGGGCCTCAAGAGGCACACAGCATTGCTTTTCGCGTTCTCGCCTTAGCGGGCCTGTGACAAACAATCCAAGACAGCTCGAGAGGCCCCCCCAGACGGCCCAAGAGGCCCGCGAGAGGGCCCATAGACGGGCCAGGGGGCCCCAAAGACATCTAAACAACGCCCCCACAAAGGAAGCCCAAGGGGGTGAATGCGAAGGAACACCAGGAGCCCTTTCCCACAAGATGGCCCCCAAGACGCCCTAAATGCCCCCAAGAAACTCCAAGGGGGCCTCCCAAAACACCCAGAATCCCTGACAAGGCAGAGGAATCAATCGAATCTGCAACACCTGCACGCAGGCAACACGAAGTGAAGCGGCAAAGCCGCATACGAACTCATAAGCTGGGGGTCGGCGAATTGGAGTCAGCCTCTCGGATAGCGTGTCGACCACTGGGTTCGCTTCGCTGGGATCAGCCAGAGGTCGAGCTGCAGCATATTTAATCCTGATGAGGCGCAACCTTGTCGCTGTGCTTCCATTTGGTTGCTCGCTCTCGTGCCTATCGAATGGATGCAATGCGAGCTCGCGCTGGGGGGGAGGGATGAGGAGGAGGAGCAGGAGGAGGAGGAGGAGGAGGAGGAGGAGGAGGAGAAAGAGCAGGAAGAGGAGGCGTAGGAGGCGGAAGAGAAGGATAATTGGCCAGGGCGCTGTGCGCCGGTCCCCTGCTGCCAAAACGGCCACTTGTATAATTATATATATATATATATGTGTATGACATGACAAAACAACAAAACACAACTACTGCCCGGGTGGGAGAAGCGAGGAGGGGAGAGGAAGGAACCGCGAACGACAGACAACACTAAATTTGGACAAACTCTAGACCTTGACTAATGGACAAACTCTAGACCTTGGACAACACAAATTTGGACAAACGACGACTAATGTAACAACGCTTGACCTTCTATCAACTCTAGGCTGGCAACGAGAACGGAATTAGAAGATCGGACTGAGAAGAACAATCAAAGAGAACAAAAGAGGGGCGATGCAACCAACTGATACTAAATGACGGAAAAAGGCGAAGATCTGCTCACAACTAACAAGGTCCAATAATCGTACTGCCCATCGCACGCTGCAATGCAACGACTTCCATTACATTGTCCATGGATGCGCATGGACAAAGCAAGACAAACTCTCGCCATCGCTCGGACGTCCATTCCCTGTGTTTTTTCGGTCTCGTGCGTGGTTTTGTCGCCAAATGATCGAGGATGCTCCTCGATGGTCCTCGCCGAAGGAAAAATGCACACGTCCGAGCGATGTCAAGAACTGGTAATGACATGGCAACAGTGCCGCAATCGCACAGAACGGCCCAAAGCGGCCGGGCGCCCGAGGGGTCGGCAGACATCTGTCATGCAAGCCGGGGGCAGAACACAGCGAGCGCGGGGCCCAGCGCCGAAGCAAACAAAAACCAAGAGCAGCTCAACCTGAAGCGTGCCGTGCAAGAAGAAGTTGGCGAACGACTCCGAGCGAGGCGAGCAGGAAAGCGACGAAGACGACCAGCGATGACGACGGCAGGCGGGGGAGGCGAACAATCGCCGTCACGAGGCGTCCGGGCGTCGGGGAAGACCTCCGCGGTGCTGCAGGGCCGTCCCTCCGCGCGGCCAGTACATGAGGCCACGCGCATTCCGAGAGAAAGAGAAAGAAAGAGAGAGAGAGAGAAAGATAGAGAGAGAAAAAGAGAGAGAGGGGGGGAGGAGGAGGGCGACGAGGAGACGAGGAAGAGGGAGAGAGTAGGACAGCGGCGCAAGCCCTGACCACCAACGGCGGACGGTAGAACCACCAGCTGTTCTGGTGGGCAAGTACGTTCTGGGGGGCGGCGGAGGAGACAGGCGCCCTATGATTCAGAGACACGAAGCTGCTGATGCTCATCGTGACGAGATAAATGTCTTGCCGCTGCCGCACCCTTCGCTGTCCCGTGTCGCCCTCGGCTTGGTGTCGGGTGGTGGTGGTGCCCCAGTGGTGTTGGCAGGCACGCCGCAGTCGCGCGTCGTCTCTGGTGGCTTCGTGCAGGAGCTGGTCCATGGTCGCGTTGGCGGCCGTGCTGCGCTCGGCAATCGTCTGAAAATGATGTCGCCGTAGGTCGTTCTCTGCGCGGTACAACACGTCTTGATCACCGCTTGCCTTTGCAACTGCATGTTTGTCATGACCGATGCGAGCATCCCCTGCGCGATGACGTCGTAGCCCACCCCAGACATCACCCTGCCAGCGCCCAGCCAACGGGGCAGCGCGTGTGGTGTTCAAGGGAGTCGTGCGCTGTGAATGAATACCCCCGACCATGCATAGATACCGCATGCCGTCCATCTGTTGATGATGGCGAGCAAGCTGTCGGAGGCGCCGCAGCTGCGGGGCCACCCGCCATGCCGCGCGGCTGGGCAGCTCTGACAGACGCCACCTGGCTAGGCGCGCGCCGAGACGACGCTCCACGCAGCAGCCGCTGCAGGCGAGTAGACGGTCGACAAGCCATTTCTGGGCGCCCCTTCTGAGCTTTCGGTCCCGCTGTCCTGTGAACCCCTGATGGCGACGCCGTCGAGCGCGGGCCTTGCTGCATGGATGTGCCTGCCGCACCAGACCTGTCGCTCCACCTGCGCCAGCACCGTCCTAGGGATGTGTTTATCAAGACAGGCAGAGAACTGAGCCAATCGCATCGCTTGATCCAAACCGCCTCTCGCTGCTGTGGGTTCAGCCGCCACCCCCTTGCACTCGACGCCGATCTTTGCGGGGGCCCCACGCGGGCATGCGGAACATCGAAGCCCGGCACGAGATCTCCAACGGGCGCAGATTGGTCGCAAGCCCGATGTCCACGCCATGGTGCAGGTCAATCGCCGACAGCGCCCCGGTACCACGCGCTGGACGACCACTCGCTCTCAGTGGATGATTTCCTGCGGCGGGGCTTCCAATGAGGCCACGAGCAAGAGCGTTGGCAATATGTATACGTTGTCAACAACGTGAGCCATATGAAGGCCCATTTTGCACCAGCGCCAATAATCCAAACGACTCGTGTACATGCCCAGAGGCTTATCCCAGGACTTGCGCCCTTTCCTGGGGCTGATGTAGTACCATGTAGGCCGCTGATGGGTCCGCCCTGGTACTCGCCTGAAGATGGTCGATGTCAGCCTCCCATGACGGGATGACTTCTGTCTTTGAAGGGTGAAGCGACACATTGGAAAACTGATCATCCATTGGTGTTCCCGCCCCCATGATCGAACTACCGTGGCCGTGTCGTCCGCGATTGCCCGAGTCGTCGCCGCCGGCGATCTGTAGCCCAGAATGCGCAGCGCGCTGTCTGACGCCAAGGCGACTTGTTCGTTGTGTTTCTATCGTGGCTGACGTCAAAAGGAAACAGAGAACGCATAACGGTGTCTTAAAGATGCAACGAGCCGTGTCAGCGTGTGAGAGTTTGGATAGGCTTGCAAGTCCATGCGTGCACTATACAGCCCATGTCAACTGGCAAGCGAAGCTCGGATCTACAGCTGGCGGGCAGCTGGCTGGCTCTCAGCTGCAGACGCGTGCAGTTCATAGCGCGCCGAAATCAATGGATAAATGCCTGGAGCATTACCATCTCTGATGAGAGGTGACAGGTGCAATCTTGTTTCTCACGCGGCCTTGGGCCAGCCAGTCGACTCTGGATTGCGTAGAATGCATCTGCACTCGCCTTGGTGCTTCTCGAAGACACGCACGGCCGAGATGCTGAATCGTGCATGCCCCTCTACCTAAGACGAATAATCATAATAATAACAAGAGGAAACATAAACATAACAATAATACTAATACATGACAAACAACAGACAGCAACGCCAGACACTACATCAATGAACGTTTATCCAATTATAATAAATTCGGGCCGTATTTGGGGAGTACAGGCCCGAAACAGCGAGGACCCTAAAACCCATGAAACAGCTAAAGGCAAACATCCAGTTTTGCAGACTGAATCACTCGTGGGAGTCCTCTGGGAGCTGTCGACAGCATAAAAGCATGCGTGCGACTTCAGAGTGTGGATTGAAGATGAGAGCGACGTCCCCAAACAGCTTGCTGAGCGGGGCGCTGTTGTCGTAGAAATTAGTTCTGGTCGAGGGTTGGGCACCCAGAGACACCCTCAAGAAAGTTTGGTGATCCAGGCCGTTTCGCCTGAGACATCCTCACAACTCTCGTTTCTGAGTTGGCCGGGCTTGGGCGTTTCGCCTGAGATATCCTCGCAAATCTGGGCTCCGAGATGCCGCACGAGAGGTGGTCTAACCCATTTTGTCTGAGACGTCTTCGCAACTGGGCATCCGAGCAGGCCATCGGTATCCTGTAAATGTCGTCACTTTCGGGCTCCTCAAGCCTGAATCTTGAGGACGTCCAAAGCGGGAGCCTCGTCTATGAGGGAATTGCGAGGAAGTGTCAGGCGGGAGCCCCCATTCTATGGGAGCCCCATGTCCATGTTGGAATCCGAACGGGCCGCAAGCAAACCTGCAACTTGGAATCCGACCGGGTTCCTCCGGAATGAATATGGAAGAAACCAAGCCGGGGACTTCTCGACCAGGGAAGCTTCCTGGGGGGACGGATGGTGGCTGGGTCGGGGAGGGGGGGAAAGAGGGGAGAGAGGAAAAGAGGAAGGCAAGGCTCCAGATGATTGGAGGTCCCTGGAAGAAACCCTCGCGAAAGCTTGAATCTCTCCGAGCTCCCACGAGGGGGATTCCCCAACGCCTCCTCCTCCTCCCCCTACTCCTCCTCTTTCTCCTCCTCCTCCTCCTTCCCTTCCTCCTCCTCCTCCTCCTCCTCCTCCTTCTCGTAATCCTCCCTCTCTCTCTCTTCGTTGTCTTCTGTCTCTCTCTCTCTCTCCTTCTCTCTTTTTCTTTCCCTCCTCCTCGGACTCTAAGAGCTCGTTGGAACCCGGCCGGGCCATCGGATCCACTGAGACGCGCAGGAATACGAGCGACGTCTTTTGGGTTCTTTAGAAGGCCACTTGCTCGTCTCATCATAGGAAGAGGAGGGATGCTGCATCCCTTCGTCATGTTTTCCCGCGCCACGTGCATGCGGAACGTGCGGATCCTGCGGCCGCTCCCGCTGGAATTCCTGGAGAGAGGGCCGCTGGCGTCCCTGCGGAAGGCGCTCAGGGAGTTCGGCAAGAGAGCGGAGAGCTCCAGGACAGAGGCGGAGCAACTCGCGGCAGAGCTGGGCTTCGTTCTGCCTCCCGCTGGAGCGCACCGTTGGAGAAATTTCTTCTTTGATCTTCCACCCCAAGTGATCGCCCCCCCCGCCGCCGCTCCCGCCGCGTCTTCGGCGGCGAGAAGGGTGCCCCCCCGCGTCGCTGGGTGGCTCGCCCGCTCAGTCTGTCGCACACGCCGGGCGCGGCCGTACTCGCGTGCCGCACCGATGAGGCAACTACTTGTGAACCGTGGCGTTGGAAAGATAGCGTGCACCTAGATGTCCCGATACGCAACACGCAACACGTAGCGTGTTGACACGGAGCTCAGCACGTACAGCTCAGCACGTAGACTGACCACGTAGGTCTGACGCAATGCATTCGCCAAAATGTGAACCCATACGTTGAACCAACACGCAACGTATTGCCACGGACGTTTTGAGCACGGTGCGTGTTAGATCCCAAAAACGTATCGAGGCAGCTAAGAGCGTGCAACATCAATCTCCGAAAAACACGCTAACCCTTTGAGGCGGTCCCCTCGCGAGGGCCCCTGCTGTGCACGATGCCCCCCTGCCAAGGCTTCTTCGGTGCACTCTGTCCCCATGGTGGGGGATAGTGTGCAATAAACGGGCCACTGGCGCCACATTGATCGCTATCTTGCCACCCCCAGTCGTATCCCTGCAAATAAGATTTTTCTGAAACCGGCAGGGGTTCAGAATGTGAAAGATGTCTGAAGCCAAGTGAACCCCAACGGGGATGTCCGATACCCCAGCGCCGATTGGACCCGTAAGGGTAAGGTTCGCAAACGGTCGCAGATCGATGCTGGGCAAGCCGTGGGCCACAGTGACCACACTCGAAGCTTGCAAAGGCAACCACGGACGAGAGACTCACCCCCTTTGGGCCTCGCTTGCACCTTGGTGCACGCAGAGCGCCACAGGAAGACCAATTAGAGGACCCAAGGAACACAGAGTCCCTTCCGAAAGGAGGGAGGGAAGGAAACACCCGTGCGAACGGACAACCGACTCGCGTGGGCTAGCCCGAAGGCGCTTCACAGCACACCCACAGCTGAAGTCGAAGTCGAAATTGACGTGCACAGGCACATGGAACAGGTCTACCCTTTATGTGCAAGATGAACAGACACATCGACATACACATGCGCAGGACAATGAACCGTGGCAAGGTCCCCTTCCGAAGTCAGAGGGGACCTTACCCATAAACTCTGGCTGTAGGAGCATCCTATGTTGTGCGAGAACCAAACTGTTTCAGGCCAGGGGGTAAGTGCTTCAACATCAAGGACGGCGCGACGAAGTCCGCGGAAACTCCCTTCACCGTGCGGCAAGGGCAAGCGGAATGTCGCCTGGGTCCCTCACTCTGGCACGAGTGAGAAAGCAGTTAGCTCAGGGACGCGCACATACTTCGCTGCCCTCGAATCTCTTTGAGGGCCAGGCGCTGCGTAGGCAATTCAGATTCGAGGATGCGAAGCCGACATAGTTTAACAGGGCAATGGCGCCCCAACCACCAACGCGACACATCCACAACATATGCAAGGTGAAACCGTTGGCGGTTCACAAACGTGTAACGACATACATGCTCAAACCCAGCCGTTGAACTGCACCTCCCCGCGGAAACAGGACTGCACCTTCAAAATAGGCGCAGGCGAAGGCGTCATGAGCGTACGCGTGCAGCGCAGCGCACATGCGCATGCTGGACACGCGATGCAGCATGCCTGTCCATCTTGCAAAGCACTGCGCGCATCGTGCTGTATCGGGGGTCGCTCGCGGCCAGGGTGTCCGGAGCATTGTAGCTATTCGGTCGCACTGCTCCTCGAGGTCTGGCGCGGAAGCGTCGCCCGAGCTCTCCCGCGTGATGACATCCTCCTCCTCACGTCCCCCCCTCCCCTCCCACTTCCCTGCGCTTGGCCCCCGAAGGCTCCTCCACGATCCCGCGCGCGGGCTCCACGAGCCCCTCGCACAAGACGTCGTACCCGATGCAGCGTGTGGCGCCCAAGGCCAGCGCGAATAGGCACGTGGACCTGCGGAATGCAGCAGCATAGTCCCCAAGATACTGTTTTCGGGGACGTCCTGCAATCCGATAGCCTGTCCACCGCTCAGAGAGCAATTGCGGCATAGCAAGTTGTGGCAACAAGTGGCTTCAAATGATTGTCACTCTCTCGAGATGAAACCGTAATCCCAAGAAACTGCAATCTCAAACAACTCTTCTACCCACGCGGGTCCAAGAGCCAACGCGGGCTCGCCTCCGGCCAACTGTTAGCGAGGGCGAGGCGATGTGGGGTTGCAACACATAGGTTTCACAACAACTTCTCCACAACATATTTCAGACCACATAGCTTGCATGCTCAGAGCGGCAATTGCTTCCTCATGGATGAAACATCTCTGCCCAATCGAAGTCCTTCACATGTGTGCAAAAATATGGTGGATCCAATTTGCCCATCTTGTGGATTCCCAAATGCATTCTACGGAGTGAGTCTCTGATCCGCCACCGTGTCTCTGTGCACGGAGTGGGCGTACCTTCACGTCCTTTCCCTCATCCTCTAAGCTCAGTCCTCACTCCTGAAGACTCTTGAAGGGGCCCCGACCCCAAATTGCGATTCTGCTGGGGCTTCCCGCGTGCCACCTGGGTCCCCCGCGTGGTGGCGCGTGAATTGTTTGGGCTGCATAAGGGCCCAGCACGGGCCAAGAAGGACCCACGAGGCCCTCAACACGGACCAAGAGGGCTTCGAGACGCCGAAAGATCGCCCCAAGCCGCCCAACAGGGCCTCAAGATGGCCCGAGAAGCATCCAAGACGGCCCAACAGGCCTCCACGAGGTTTCCCAGAAAGTCGTGGGCCAAGATCATTGATTCACCTTTTTTGTGGACGGAATTTGGCGGTCTCGCCTTTTCTGCTTTCCCACGCTCCAAGACGGCCCAACAAGCCTCCAAGACCACCCCAAGACGGCCCTAGAGGCCTCCAAGAGGGCCCCAAGACGGCCTAAGAGCGCCCCAAGATGGCCCAAGAGGCGCCCAAGTCGGCGCCCAAAGGAGCCCACGAGAGGGAGGACGAACCGAACATCCAAGCCTTCCGCCCCAAGAGGCCCCAGGAGGCCCCAAGATGCGCCCAAGAGGCCCCAAGAGGCTCCCAAGAAGCCCCTAAGAGGTCCAAAATGGGCTCAGGCCTCTGAACTGCCTCCAAGAGGCCCCTGAGAGGCCTCCCAAGAGATCCCAACGCACATTCAATAGGCTTCATACCCACACCCCAGGCACGGTGGCGAGACGGGCCGAAGGCCATTCGATCCGCCGCCCCCTGTCGATTCATCACAAGGGTGCCCGGCGTGCTAAATCCTTTCGGTTTTGGTCTTGGTTATTTTCCAAAAGAACTCCCCCTGGGGCTTCGGCCCGTCCCGCCGGCCACCCGAAATGTTGCTCAATCCCGGAAGAATCCCCCAAGACGGCTCAAGATGGCCTCCAAGATGGCCACGTTGGCCCACGATGGCCTCCAAGATGGTCCAAGATGGCCTCCAAGTCCGCCCAAGATGGTCCAAGACGGCCTCGAAGACGGCCCAAGAGAGTCCAAGATACCTCCAAGTTCGCACGAGAAGCCTCCAAGACGGCCCAACACGACCCAAGAGGTCTCCAAGAGGTCCTCCAGGAGGGCCCGAAGAGGCCAAAATCATTTGGTATCCATCGATTTTTGAAAGAGTTTGGCATTTGCTTCTTCTCGGCATTCCGACGGCTCAAGACGGCCCAAGAGGCCTCCAAGATCGCCCAATAGGCCTCCAAGATGGCCCCATGACGGCCCAAGAGGCCCCCAAGACGCCCAAGATAGCCTTCAAGACGGCTAAGATGGCCCCCAAATGCCTCCCAAACGGCCCAAATGCACCCAAGACGGCCTGAGATGGCCTCCAGACGGCCTAAGACGGCCCAAGAGGCCTCGAAGAGGCCTCCAAGACGGCCCAAGAGGCCTCAAAGAGGTCCTCCAGGATGGCCCGAAGATGCCCAAATCATTGATTTTCCAATTTTCCATGCTGTTTGAAGGATTTTGGCATTTGCTTCTTTTCGGCATTCCGACGGCTCAAGACGGCCCAAGAGGTCCCCAAGATCGCCCCATGACGGCCCAAAAGAACCCCAAGACGGCCCCGGGCCCAAGAGGCCTCCACGACGGCCAACATGGGCCCAAGATGCCCAAGGGCTAAGACGGCTTCCAAGGCGCCCAAAGGCTAAGATGGCCCCAAGATGCCTCCAAGCCGGCCCAAGATGCACCCAAGACGGCCGAAGATGGCCTCAATATGGCCCAAGACGGCCCAAGAGCCCCCCAAGAGGCCTCCAAGACTGCCAACAAGGCGTCCAGGAGGCCTCCCAGGACGGCATGAAAATGCCAAAATCATTTATTTTCCAGCGGTTTTTGACAGATTTTGGCATTTGCTTCTTCTCGGAATTCCGACGGCTCAAGACGGCCTCAGAGGCCCCCAAGATCGCCCAAGAGGCCTCCAAGCTGGCCCCATGACGGCCCAAAAGGCCCCCAAGACGGCCCCAAGAGGGCCCCAAAATAGCCCAAGAGCCCTTCAAGACGCCCAAGGTGGCCTCTAAGAACCCCTGATATGCCCGAAAAGGGCCCCAAGACGACCCAGACAGGCCCCCAAGACGGCTTCCGACGGCGTTAGGCAAGCCAGGAACGCCCTAAGACGGCCAACGAGGCCCCCAAGAAGCCCCCAAAGGCCCCACAAAACCCTCCAAGAGGCCCCCAGGAAGTTCCCAGGAGGCCCCAAGAGTGCCCCAAGAGGCGCCCAAGAGGCCTCCTCCTCCTCCTCCTCTTTTTTCCTCATCCTCCCCCTCCTCTTCGTCTCGCTCCCCCATGCGTTCCCCGAAGTCTTTCCAAACCGACTCGGGGAACAACTGGCCCGATAGCTTGGCCAAGCTCTGGCCCAGCTGTCGGCCACAGAGGCGCTTCCAAAGGGGCAGGGGGCGGCGGTGATTCGCCGTAGGCGTCTTCGATCCGCCGCCCCCTGTGCCCGACGGGCCAGATTTCAGGAGGTTTTTAGCCACCTGGAAGGCTCTTCCAGAGGTGGTTGCCAACGCTTTTCCCGCTCCCGATGGCTCCAAGATGGTCCAAGATGCCCTCCAAGACGGCCAAGATGGCCCCCAAGTTCGCCCAAGATGGTCCCAAATGGCCCCCAAGACGGCCCAAGAGCGTCCAAGATGCCTCAAAGTTTGACCAAGAAGCCCCCCAAACTGCCCAAGATGGCCTCAAGATGATGGAAAACGGCCCAAGCGGCCCCCAAGAGGCCTCCAAGAGGCCTCCAAGAGGTCCCCCAGGAAGGCCCGAAGAGGCCAACATCACTGATTTTCCGTAAGTTTGTGAAGGATTTTGGCATTCGCTTCTTTTCGGACTTCGGACGGTCCAAGACGGCCTGAAAGGCCCCGGAGATCGCCTCAAAATGTCCCTTGCGGCCTCCAAGATGGCTCTGTAACGGCCCAAGAGGCCCCCGAGACGGCCCCAAGATGGCCCCAAGACGGCTACGACGCCCAAGATGGCCTCCAAGACGGCCCTGGAACATCCGAAAAGGGCTCCAAGTCGGTCCGGAGAGGCCCCTAAGACGGCTTCCGACGGCGTCAGACGGACCGTGGACGCCCCAAGATGGGCAAAGGGGCCCCGAGAAGTCCCAAAAGGCCCCCAATCGTCCCAAGGAGGCACCCAATATGCCTCCAAGAGGCTCCCAGGAAGCTCCCAGAAAGCCCCAAGAGTGCCCCCAGAGGCTCCCAAGATCCCTCCTCCTCCTCCTCCTCCTCCTCCTCCTCCTGATCTTCCCCGCCATCCTCCCCCAAATGTTCCCCTAAGAGTTTCCACAAGGGCTGGGGAACCGCATGGTCCGATAGCTTGGCAGAGCTCTTGCCACAACGCTCGGCCACGTGGGCGATTCCAAAAGGCAGGGGGCGTCGGTGATTCGCCGTAGGCGTCTTCGATCCGCCGCCCCCTGTTGGATTGCTACAGGGGTGCCTTGCGTGCCAGACTTCACGAGGTTTTTGAATCTTTTAGAGCTTCCCCTGGGGCCTCGGTCCAGCGCGCCGGCCACACAGAAGGCTTGCCTGGAGGTGGTTGCAAACGTTTTTCCCGTTCCAGATCGCTCCAAGATGGCCTCAAAGACCGCCAAGATGGCCTCCGAGCGGCCTCCAAGCGGCCCCTAAGAAGCCTCCAAGACGACCCACGAGGCCTCCAAGAGGTCCTCCAGGAAAGCCCTAAGAGGCCACATCATTGATCTTCCGCAGGTTTTTGAAGGATTGTAGCATTTGTTCCTTGTCGGCCTTCCGACGGCCCGAGACGGCCCAAGAGCCCCAAAGATCGCTCCAAGATCGCCAAGAAGGCTTCAAGAGGGCCCCAGAACGGCCCAAGAGGCCCCCAAGACTGCCCGAAGAGGGCCCCAAGACGGCCCAAGAGGCCTCCAAGAAGCCCAAGATGGCCTCCAAGACGGCCCTGGAGCACCCAAAGAGGGCCCCAAGTCGTCCCAGAGATGCCCCCAAGACGGCTGATGATGGCGTCAGACGGGCCAGGAACGCCTTAAGACGGGCAAAGGGGGCCCCGAGAAGCCCCAAAAGGCCCCCAAGCGGCCCAAGGAGGCCCCCAAGATGCCTCCAAGAGGCTTCCAGGAAGATCCCAGAAAGCCCCAAGAGTGCCCCCAGAGGCTCCCAAGAGTGTCTCCTCCTCCTCCTCCTCCTGATCTTCACGCCATCCTCTCCCAAATGATCACCGAAGCGTTTCCACGACGGCTGGGGAGACGCATGGTCCGATAGCTTGGCAGAGCTCTTGCCACAACGCTCGGCCACGTGGGCGATTCCAAAAGGCAGGGGGCGTCGGTGATTCGCCGTAGGCGTCTTCGATCCGCCGCCCCCTGTTGGATTGCTACAGGGGTGCCTTGTGTGCCAGACTTCACGAAATTTTTGAATCTTTTAGAGCTTCCCCTGGGGCCTCGGTCCAGCGCGCCGGCCACACAGAAGGCTTGCCTGGAGGTGGTTGCAAACGTTTTTCCCGTTCCAGATCGCTCCAAGATGGCCTCAAAGACCGCCAAGATGGCCTCCGAGCGGCCTCCAAGCGGCCCCTAAGAAGCCTCCAAGACGACCCACGAGGCCTCCAAGAGGTCCTCCAGGAAAGCCCTAAGAGGCCACATCATTGATCTTCCGCAGGTTTTTGAAGGATTGTAGCATTTGTTCCTTGCCGGCCCAAGAGTTTCCACAAGGGCTGGGGAATCGCATGGTCCGATAGCTTGGCAGAGCTCTTGCCACAACGCTCGGCCACGTGGGCGACTCCAAAAGGCGGGGTGCGGCGGTGATTCGCCGTAGGCGTCTTCGCTATGCAGCAACCAGAAGGGCCCAGAGGGGTTTTGTCCCATGCAACCTTGGATCTGCAGGCCAGCGCCGAGCTTCTGTAGAGGGGGGGCTGCGGTGCAACAGCCTGAATGTGGCTGGGGTGTAACAACATGCATGTGGTTGGGGCGCAACAGCTTGCCGTTGTCTTCCAGTTGCTCTTGGGGCTTCGGTGTCGCGTGAACAGGGAATGTCCCGAGGCTGTTGTATCACTGCGAGTGTACCTCGAAGAACCTGCGCGTTTCCTCAATTGCATATGCTCGTGATCTACACTCTGGTGTCATTGGACAAGTATTCAGGAAACGTATTGAACAGAGATTTGGCAACGGTGCTCCTGAACACGCGCTCTCACAACTTTGACACAACAGATCGTCAAAGCTGTGTTCGGAGGAGAAATGTCCCTCCGTCTGGCAAGGACATGTCTTTGGGAAAGCACCCGAACGCTCCCTTCACGTGTGGAGAACCCAATGGATACTCGCATCGGGAAGTGTGATTGAACAGCGCAATGCTATATGCACGGTGTGACAAGACCGCACGCGCACTAGACAAGGCACGCATGATCTCAAATCTGTGAACTTGCCAAATGAGCATGTATGTATGACTATACGGTCTTCGCCACCAGACTTCTTCATCCAACATGTTTCATTCATATCTTAAAACCTGTAATAGTAATCGCATGAGCTTGGTGATACGAACACGCAGTGTATGTGAATCGCCTACGCTAGCATGCAACTATTCCTGTCGCTACTACTGTTTCTCACGGCGCTGTCACCACTGCCCATTGATGTACCTCGAGTCGTGTCTCTATGACAGTCAATGCTACTCATGCGAGTGCGGCTGCTGCTTCTGCGACTGAGGGGCCGCTTATGCCACGGGTATCGCTAGTATCACTAGATATATCCATTCCTGCTGCTGATCATTCGGCTACTAGCTGAAATAATGCGATGCAGACGACGGCTCTTCCGACGGCTTCCATGGCTACCTCTTCTGCTGATGCTGGTGCTGGTGCTGCTGCAGACATGGGCGAGTCCACGGTTGGTGGCTATAACTTTCTTAGTAATCCAGCTGCATCGGCGACAATGGGGATTGTGACGTTGACGACGATGATGGCGACGACGCCAACGACAGTTTGGCGACGTCAACGGCGACGGATGCGAGACACATCGCAACTTTGATGAAAACGCAATCATTCAACTTCGGCTCGCCCATGTCCGTAGCGGGGCGATTCTAGAACAAGAAACAGCCAACAAGAGCCATGCCAATCTCACTGGGGATCCCCACCTCGATCGATGGATCGTCCAACCGCCTGGACAGGACCTCGACACGAATGCGATCCATGTTGCAGGACACGCACCGAACCACATCATCAAACTCTTTAGACTAACGGGCAACGTTAGAAACGGACCAGCTCAAGGGAAACACTCATCGGGCGCTAATCCGCGACACATCGCCGATAGATCGGCGATAGGCCCGCGACAGCGAATCTGCACGGTCTTATTCGGCATGGGCTATCAGGTCCCTATCGGCGATCAATGGGCGATTGGTGGTCGATGCGTCCCCCCTCAACCTATACCGCCCCAACATTGCCACTGGTAGCCGTCCAACTCGACGTGACTCCAGCATAAACCAGCATGCTCACGGGGACGACCCTAAGCCACTGCCAACTACGATCGCGAGGATCTCGTCCAGGGACTCGTCCTCGAGGGCCGCCGCCACTGCGGGGGAGGACGCCACCTCCTGCCAGCCCTGGAACCAGATCGTGTGGAGCAACCCCACTGTCCTCGGCCCCCCCTTTCCCCTGCGATGCACCTCTCCCCCTACAGCCATCGTGCCGCCATGGGGAACGCTGAGTCAGGAACGATGGGCTCTTCTGGCCACGGCTAGCCTCAGGCCGGGCGTGTCCCCCTGCAGTCGGATTCTGGAGGAAGCATTACACATTGCTCACAACATCCTCGGACATGACCAACAATGGTCGGCCAATCGTCTTGAGACTACTCTTTTGACTATTTTTGATTATTCCTCCTGTCGAGGGACACGGCCGACTGCATGCCATAGGGAACGCCGAGTCGGGAACGCCGGGCTCTTCTGGCCACGGCTACAGCCTCGGCCACGCGGCGGCCCCCCGACCTGAATCGAAGGAGCGGCCAGACAACCAGAGCTCCCCCTCCTGAGCCCAAAGTAGTTCCTCCTCCTCCTCCTCCTCCTCCTCCTCCTCCTCCTCTTCCTCCTCCTCCCCCCTGAGCCCAGAGTAGTCCGTCTTTCAGCGTCTTGACTTCCTGCCTCCCTGTTTCGGGATCCACCAAAGGGGGGGGCATACGTTCGATCCGTTGGAACACCGAACTACCGCAAACAGATGCCCCCCGCATGCCCCGCCTATCGGCAACTATTGGGAGCTGCCGGCGGCTGGGGGGCATCTGTTTTGGGCGGGACACAAACCGATCGAACTCACTCACACACACAAGCACACACGCGCACACGCACACGCACACGCACGCACGCACGCACGCACGCACACACACACACACCACACACAGAACACAACACACAACACACGACACACACACACAACACAACACACACAATACAACACACACACACAATACACCCGCACAACACAAACACAACACATACAGAACACACACACAAAAACACACACAACACACAACGCAAACAACGCACACACAACACACAACACACACAACACACGCACAACACACAACACACACACAACACACACAACACACACAACACACACACAACACACACAACACACATAACACACACCACACAACACAACACACACAACACACCACCCACACAAAATGCACCACACACCACACACCACACACCACACAACACACACACCACACACAAAACACACACAACACACAACACACACAACACACAACACACCACACACACCACACACGACACACAACAAACACACAAGACACACAACACACACAACACACCACACACAACACACACCACTCACACAACACAGCACACAATACACAACACACACAACACACAACATACACACAAACACACACACACAACACACACAATGCACCCGCACAACACAAACACAACACATACAGAACACACACACAAAAACACACACAACACACAACGCAACCAACGCACACAAAACACACACACACAACACACAACACACAACACACAACACACACACACACCACACACAACACACACAACACACACAACACACACACACAACACACACAACACACATAACACACACCACACAACACAACACACACACACAACACACCACCCACACAACATGCACCACACACCACACACCACACCACACAACACACACACACCACACACAAAACACACACACAACACACAACACACAGAACACACAACACACCACAAACACCACACACGACACACAACAAACACACAAGACACACAAGACACACACCACACACAACACACAACACACACCACTCACACAACACAGCACACAATACACTACACACACAACACACAGCATACACACAAGCACACACACAACACACACAACACACAACACACACAACGCATACAACACAATACACACAACACATAACACATAATACATAACACATAACAACCACACAACACGCAATCCACAACACACAACACACACAACACACAGCACACAAACACACAGCACACAAACACACAAACACACACAAACATACAAACACACACACAAACAAACACACACACACAAACACCCCGGGATCCCGACTGTTCCACTTCTTCGTCGGACAATGGTTGCAATTGAAGGGGTCCTCGCGTGGGCTGCCTTCCCAGAACACCCGAGGGGCTGCCCCTGTCCGGGGGGGGGAGCGAACGGCGACACCCGCAGTTCCTTCCTACATGCTTATGACGTCGCGAAATTCGCTCACCATGGAGCTACCTGAACCCAGTCAACGCGCTGAGTAAAGATGCACGATAAGGATGCAATCTGGACGCCCGAACTGGGTACAGAAAAAATAGGTACGATGCCCAACAACAAATGTTGTCCAAAACCGACAGCGGCCGCTGTTGGGCAGGAGGCTTTCTGTCTCAAGTCGATAACGTCCGCGCCGGCGCAGACAGCGAGCCCTGTCCAAAATGATCAGGAATTGCTGTTGGGCATCGTACCTATTATTTCCGTACTCATTTCGGTCGTGCCGATGCAAGGGCCTTGGAAGGCCACGCCGACACTTTTCGAACGGGGCGCGGCCAGCGAAAATGGCCCAGGATGGGCCAACTGGGGAGGATGCAAGGGTGAGCTTGGAAAACCGCGCATTCGGCAACAGAGATCGTCCCAGATTGACCTGGCGCATGCTTACCAGCCTGGAACATATCCCTATCCCTATCCCTATGCTGGGCACCTCCTCATCACGATGCCAATCTTAGGGATTTCCTTGTTTTTTGAGGGCGAATCCCTAAGATTGTCATCGCATTTTGGCGTGTCAATCTTAGGGATAGGGATACGTTCAAGGCTGGTAGGCATGAAGATTTCATTTTTTGTTATCGTGTCCGGTAGCGGTCGTCACCCCGGGGGGTGCGAGCTGGGGGCCACGGGCAACGGCAGCGCTGGGGCGGGACGGGGCACGTCGGGGCAGGGGTGCTCTGCCATCGCCATGGCATGCGCGCGAGCACCAACACGCGTGTGTGTGTGGGGGGGAGGGGGTGCAGGCCCCCCCCCCCATGTGCGATCGCTGCCGTTACCCATGTACGATCGCTCTGCCATCGCCATGGCATGCGCGCGAGCACCAACATGCGTGTGTGTATGGGGGGGGGTGCAGCCCCCCCCCATGTACGACCGCTGCCGTTGCCCAGTGGGGGGGGTGGCTGTACCCGGCAGCGACCCTCACGCGCCAAAGGATCAGATACCACAGCAGCGTGTCAGAACGGCAGCAGGTCACGGCCAGGCGCACCTCGGTGTCTTCTTGTGCTGGATCGTGGCCAGCCCAGCTGTGTAGCCGGCCTGGAATCGAGAGCACGCCTCCTGAATAACTCGTGAAGAAGCCTCCAGCGAAGCGGCTGCCAGTCCAAACGATCTCAGGCGGCGGTCCCGGGCTCCCCGTCCCCCCCCCCCCTTGTGGGACTCTCTCTCGCCTGTGGCCTTCTTGGCCCCTACTGGGAGCCCACTGCGCTCGGACCCAGGCCAGAAGAGAGCCCCTCGAGAGCACGAGACCCTCCGTCGGCCAAGGCACACAGAACGTTCAGGGGTGCCCTCCCCAGGCTGCACGAGAACATCCACAAACACGGCGAACACTGGGGTACCCTCCCCGAACCGACCTCGATCTTGCAACTTCTTGTAACTCGGCCCGACTGTAGCGAAACACTGTTAGGGAACAAGCTCACGGACGACCGTTACGCGCAAGAGGATAACGACAACAAAATAAAACCCTATGCCAACGGCGGCCTTCGACCTCGCGCGCCCGCGCCCGCGCCGCCGCCGCGCCGGCGCAGCGCACCGAGCGCTGCCGCCCCCGGGGGCCCGATCGCGCCTCCCGGGCCCGTGCTGCCCCTAAGACGAAGCCAGGACGAGGATAGCATCGGGCGAGGATGCCTCGGCTCGGCTCTGGAAGCTGTCTCTGAGATGGAGGGAGGAGGGAGGAAGGAAGGAGGTGGATGGCGAAAGGAAGGAGGGATCAGGGAAAGAGGAAGGAGGAAGGAGGGAGGGAGGGGTGGATGGAGGGAAGGTGGCAGGACGAATCTCTGAGATCCGGCGGCTCTGGAAGCTGCCGAAAAAGGGGCGCGGCCTTCTCGGAGCGTTCCGGAGCGCTCTCCGAGAGTTCCGGAGCGATCTGGAATGGAGCTGTCCTCGCCCTGGCCCCGTCCGATGCCCCCACCCACCCAGCCTCCAGGCAAACTTTTCCATTCGGACGCCCCAAGCGGGTACGGAAAAGATTGGCACGGTCCCCAAGAGGGGGGGGGATTTGGCCGGGGACCGTGGCGCTCCAGTGCAGAACAAGTGCAGTCGAGCCTAAGACAAAATAGTATCCCTCAAGAACACGAGACCTTCCGCCGGCCAACACTCACAGAACATCCAAGGATACCCCAGGCTGCACAAGAACTTCCAACAAACACGAAGACCTTGAGGCACCCTCCCCGAACCGACCTCGATCTTATACCTCGTTCCGACTGCACAAGCTCATGCCGGCGGCAGCGGCGTGGCAGCTTGAAACCCAATGTACGTCGGGTCCACGTCGGATTTGCGTGGGATTCACGTCGGACTTGCGTCGGAGCATCGCCGCGCCAAAGTCGACCAATATCTTACGCAGCGGACGTGAGGATGCCGCGCGAGGCCTACAAGATTCTCCTAAGATTCTCCTCATAGCCCGTGCTGTCCCCACCCTCCAGGCGCCCGCAGAGCAACGTCGGACAAACACCCCCACTGGACGCCCGAAATAGGTATGGAAAAACATCGGCACAATTCTTCGTGGGCCCTTGAAACGACAACACCGTATTTTTGTTACCAATTCCGCTTTGGAATTCTCCTGCTGGTTCCAATGCTGTTTTTTGGGGGTTCCGTCGCCGTTGCTTTTCAATTATGGTGCCAGTTCCAAGCGTGTTCTTTTCGATGTGTTGGGGCATTATTGTGATGGATCAATTACATGTTCCACTCCAGAGATCAAATTCTGAGCACCAAAAAACGGGAGGCTCTCGTTTCCAAAGCCCACTGAAGTACAATGTCCAACAACAGATATCGTCCAAAACCGACAGCGGACGCCGTTGGGCAGGTGACCTCCTGTCTCATGTGGACAGTTCCCTTGGCGACACCGAAGGCGAATCTTCTTTTGAATTCGGCGGAGAGCGAGCGGGGGAAGTGAGAAGGAGAAGGCCTTCTCAAAAAACGGCGGGGCCTCTCAGAAACCCTCGGGCCTCCTGAGAAGTTTTTCCGTGTCTTCGGGGAAGGCTCAGAAAACTTCTCAGAAGGCCGGGGGACTTCCGAGCCTTCTGAGAAAGTCCGCCTCCCAGACCCCCGACGTCATGATTTTTCTCATAGCGTCGACCCCGGAGATCTCCCCGGGATCGGTTTGTATTCCCGAGTCGTTATTTGACGGTCCCGAGACCTGGTGAAGGCCCCCAGAAGCCGAAAGTCGTGAAAAACTTGCCGTCGCGACTTTTTCGTGACGCGATTGGGGTCTGACCGCCGATACATGGACAAAATCTGTTGTTGGTATTCGTCCCCACTCCTTCCGTACCCATTTCGGCCGTCCCGATCCCTCGCCATCAAGGGACGCCCGTCCCAGGGCGGCTGGACAACCCCTGCCCGCGGTGCCACCCTGGGGGCGCAGGCTTCCCAGCCGCCCTGGCAATGCACACGGTATCGCAATGTGCATCAGAAAATTCTGTCGTGGTGATTCATATGGCTCGGAATGGCAAACCACATGGCTTGCCATACGGAACCGTGCGACATACGAAACCATATGACCACATCTTGCCATCGCTCGGACGTCCTTTGCCCGTGCATTTGTCGGTTTTGTGCGTTTACTGTTCGCAAGATGGTCCAGGCCGCTCCTCGATGGTCCGCGCAAAAAGGAAACGCGCACGTCCGAGCGATGCCAAGACATGCTGCACAATGCGATGCCGCACACCTTGCCGGAGCAGCTTCGCTCCATGCCGCCCCTCGTCCGCACGAGGCCCCGCTCGCTCTGGGCGCCGCGCCCCCCCTCCCCCCCACTCGTCGCCTGCCTTCAGCTCTGTTTGGCGAGGGCGTGCTTAGGCGAGCCCCCGAGGTGTCCGCAAATGGGGGTCTCGCTTTTGCCAGTGGCATCCCCCTGCAGGGACCCAAAGACTCCTGGGCCCCTGAATGGACTCTCGAAAGCGCCTGATCCGCTCCTCGCTCTCCCCGTGGGCTCCGCAGGGGGGCCGACTCGAGGCAGCCACACTCCCTCGGATCAGTGGTGCTGCTCTGCTCCCTCCCCGGTCCCGTTGGCGAGGCCCCCGAAGTGCCGCAGCCTGTTGACGGCCCACGGGACCATCCACTGGGAGCGCTCTTTGGCCCGGGCGGAGGAGGAGGAGGAGGAGGAGGAGGAGGAGGAGGAGGAGGAGGAGGAGGAGGAGGAGGAGGAGTAGGAGGAGGAGGAGGAAAAGGAGGAGGAGGAGGTCGCCCGCGATGGCGGCCTGCGTCCTCCGGCCGCTCGGCCGCCCACGGGCGGCTTCTCTCTTGCCGTCTCCGCTCGGGGCCTCCGTTTCCCGTGTGCAGTCTCTTAGATTTCGCGCGCGCTTCTTTGCAAGAGGAGCCAGGATAGTCCTCGACTGGTCCCCGCCGAGAAATATTTTGATCCGCGGGTCGAGAGCGCACCTCTTCCGGTCGAAGCTAAGCGGGCCGCGCGAAGCTTGAATTAACCAGAGATGGGGGAGGAAAAGGGGGGCGCAGCCTCAGAACGAGGCCGGGAGGAGGCAAAGCCTCGGAATCAGGCGGTGCCGTAGCCGACGTACTTGCAAAGCAGCGTCTTTTCCATGAACCCGGTCACCGCCGAGAAACATGTGCCCCAGGCTTCGGGAAGGAGACCGGAGGGGGGGAAGACGCGACGAATGTGAGAACGGCACGTGGTGCCAGCTCGGTAAGGTGCACCACCCTCCAGCCATGTTCTCGCTAGCTCCAGGGAAAACGCATCGAGAGGACGTCACGCAAGACGTGGGATACCTCCAAATTCACAACCCGATGCAAATGCATCAACGACGGAAACGACGGCAATGATGGGTAGAATACGGCAATGACGAAAAACGCACTCGAACAAAAATAGGCGCCGTCTGGCGCGTGGGCCAAACAACAGTTCAGCGCAATCTACCGTGCCATGATATTACAACTGGCGAGGACAAGGACACGACTTGCAGCTAGCACTGAGCAATACTGAGGGCACCAGACGGTCCCCAGGTAAGACGAAGCCAGGACGTGAATAACATCGGGTGAGGGTGCATCGAGAAGACGAAGCCAGGACGAGGATAACATCGGGTGAGGATACATCGAGAATCTCCAAGATCCGGCGGTTCTGGAGGATGTCTCGGGCGCCGCGGACTTCTCAGAGCGTTCCGGAACGCTCTGGGAGCGTTCCGGAAGGCCCTGGAACGGAGTTATCCTCGTCCTGGCCCCGTCCGAAGGTCGCCCGCCCCCCCCCCCCCTCATTCTCGCTGCGTGCCGGCTGGAGTTTCGAGGGCGACCTGGCCGCGGCGATCACGGCGCCTCGGGAGGCCCCAGGAGGACCACAACAGTCGAGATCCTCCTTCCTCGCTCCTTCCTCTTTCTCCTTGTCCTCCTCCTCCTCCTCCTCCTCCTCCTCCTCCTCCTCCTCCTCCTCCTCCTCCTCCTCCTCCTCCTCCTCCTCCTCCTCCTCCTCCTCCTCCTCCTCCTCCTCCTCCTGCGCGGTAAGGATGCAAGGGCCTTGAAGGGCCATGCTGACGTTTTTCGAGCGAGGTTGGCCAGCGAAAGTGGCTAAGGATGGGGCGAAGGGGCAAGGATGCAAGGGTAATCTTGGACAGTTGCTCATCCTTACTATGCTGGTCGACTGTATGGGACGAGGACCTTCTCACGATGCGATTGGCTGAGGATGCGTTCAAAGAGATCCATAGTGTCTAGCGGCCCTCGTTTCTGGAGCTAGGGCGGAGCAACAACATATCATATACTATGAAATATCACAACATATCGCCATCAGAACATGGCTTCTCGCTCCTGTGTCGGTAAGGGTCCCCTATCGGGCCGGATGGCTGTGTTTGCGGTCGCTGGCACGCATGCGCAGATGCCTCGACTGGGGCGTCATCTGGCTTAACCTAACTCTGGCGGTGCGAACAGGCGGGGTGGCGCGGGTGGGACAGTCTTCTTTGAAGGCGGGTGGCCTCTCCGAAGCCGTCCAGGATTCTCAAATTCCGCAGAGCCCTCTCAGGAGCACTCAGGCGCTTCTGAAGGAGGCCCTGCTTTCTAAGAGGCACAGCCCTGCCGACCCAGAAGTTCACAACTGATATCGCTGGGCTTGGCGAGAGCAACGATGCGCGTGTGCGCCTACCAGCATAATTCGGGAGCGTTGTCACATTCCCGTCGACATTCAAGTTCGAGAGTTCATGTCCTCGGACCTCGCCCTCGTCCACCTCATCGCTGTCCTCTTCCCCCCTGTACCGCCCTTCTCGTTGCTCGAATTCCCTCGTCGATATCCTACTCCACCTCATTTTTTCCCCACGCACCAGCATTTCTCGTCCTCGCCCTCTTGGTATTCCTCTTTTCATCAGGCCGGGCATGTCTTCCGACAGGCGGATTTTGGAGGACAGCTAGAAAATAGCCGAAACAAATTCAACAAAAACCAAAAATGGTCAAATTATCGTCCCCATATGATTTTTATCACAGGAGGAAGGGAAGGATGACGGACAGGGAAGATTCACTGGACGATGGCTCGGAAGCTGGAGAGATACGTGATAAGCATGGACGCCACCGGCCCTGCCTACCATAAGCCTCCCGACCAGAAGAAGCGCTGTGCTCCTCAGAGCTGTTCTCTTGTCTTCGCACTGCGGCCAACGCGCCAGGCAACCGCTTGGATAGTCTTGCCGGAATTGCCTCCACCAGGAGGGGATGCGACCACAACACAGATTCGGCACTGACTGGACAGAGACGGCAGCAGAAAGAAACGAAGAACAGAAAACCACTTTGATGATCAGTGAGGCGAGGCGACGGGGAGAGGAGGACACGACGAGAGGAGCAAGGGAGGAGAGGAGAGGAGGCATGGAAGAGAAAGGAGAATATCACACATTTGGAAAGTCCATTGTTCATCTTTTTGCCAGCCGGGTCGGGTGGGGGGCAAGGTGTGAGACCCCCTCCCCCCAAAATCAGACCCCCAGATCCGGGTCCTCCTGGGGCGTCTTGGGGGCTTCTGGGGCTGTCTTACAAGCACGTTGAGCCGCCTTGGGGCCATCTTGAGCAGACTCGGGCCCCTCTGGAGCCGTTTTCGGGCCTCCTGGGGTCCTTGTAGGATTTTTTGGGGCCGCCTTGGGGGCCTCTTGGGACATTTTGTGACCCCTGTTGGGCCATCTTGGAATCTCTTGGGGGCTTCTTGGGATTCATACAGGGTTGTCTTGGGAGCCTGCCAGAACGTCTCGGTGCGATCTTGGGGGTCTCTTGGGCCGTCCTGGGAGCCCTGAAGCTCTCAAGCGCAAGTATTCCAAAGAAAACCGAAAACAGAGAGAGAGAGAGAGAGAGAGAGAAAGAGAACGAGAGAGAGAGGGAGAGAGAGAAACGGTGATGAGGAAACGGCTGAATTTGTGGCACGCTGTCGGGCGGTGGGAGGCCGGCGAGGGTGCAGGCTCAGGATAGCAGGCGCGGATTGACACCAGTGTTGGTCAAGGCGAAAGGAAGGGGGGGGTCTTTGGCGGTATTTTTTCGAGACAGCCATGGAGCACATCCGCCTCTTATACCATGGCATTTGCTGTTCGTGTGTGGTCGTGCACCTACATCTGCTCTAGACCCCCTCTTTGCTGCATGGTGCTAGCACCGTTTATCCAAAAGCGGATGTCACAACTGACCGTTCGAGGAGCACACAATGATGCCATGGCGTCCATGTGTAGCCGTTCCTCCTGGCCTGGCTCGAATTATACTAATAACTGCAACTTCGCACTCCGAATCTAACACTAGATCTTGCTCTCTTGTTCTGGCAAACAGCCGACGCCGGCGCCAGTCGGCAACCCAAGCCAACAGTGGTCGGCAATCGATGGTGCAAATCGGCAGCGGCAGCTGACAACGGCGCGGGGGCCAATCGGACCGAGGCCGCATCCAGGCGCCGACAGCGAACGGCCGACGCGCCGCACATGGCATGCGTATGCGTGTGTTTGGCGGCAGGTGTTCTGACACATCATCCTTTTCTTCAAATCTAGTGGGCATGTGGGTTGTGGTGAACTGCCTCGCGTGATTCCTTCCATGAAGCCGCCGCCTTCTTAACTTGTGCGAGGGCGGAGTGCGCCGCGTCACTCTGCCGTGCCAGTTGAATCGAGCTCTCTCTACTGGCAGTGCGAGTTAGCGCAGTGCCTAATGCTCTCAGAGGCTCATGTGAGGTACTTCATGGCCAGGGGCTGGTGCCATCGCAAGAGAGCCACTGGCCAAGGGGCAATCGCTACTGCCAGCAAGCCGTCCCTGGTCGGAGCGGCTGGTCAGGCAGAGACGACGGTCCTCGCTTGCCAGCTGTGCGCGCTTGGTGACATTCCTATGCTGCGTCATCATCAATAGATGTGCCTGGCCTCATCTCGTCTCCTCGCATGCAGTCTGTCAATGCAAACTACCCGCCGATGGGCATTCTGAGCCCTGTGTAGAGCAGTGTTTTTGAAGCTCTGGACCCCCGTCGTCATTAGTAATATTATGCGGTTGTGCACCGCGCGCCACTGCCGTCCTTATTATCATCAACGTCATCGCCATCGCCATCAACATCACCTCACTAATCATTTTCGTTGTCATATTATAGTGACCCCAATCTACACTACTATTTCATCACCATCATCTTAATCGTCCCTCCAGCAGAAGAAAGCAAGCGTCGCCCTGCAAGCGGTCTTGAACACTCTTCTTTCCTTTTCCAGGATGCCGGCCAAGTCCTCCAGACAGATCTTGACTCGATTCTTGACTCTCCCCCGCGAGGAGTGCCGTCAATCCAGACGGAAGAGGAGGAGGTTCAAGGGCAGAAGGTGGTGCTTCTCATGTTTGAAATCGAATCCCTGTTTCCGATCTCCTCAACGAACGTGACTCGGTACGAACGAAATGTGTACGGGAAGAACTGGTACGATGTCCAACAACAATTCCCGTTCATTTTGAACAGGACTCGCTGTACGCGCCACCGCGGACGTTATCCATTTGAGACAGAAGGCCGCCTGCCCAACAGCGGCCGCTGTCGGTTTTGGACAGCACTTGATAGGTATCGTACCCGTTCTTCCCGTACCCATTTCGGGCGTCCAGAGTGGTTGACTTTTCCGCCTTCTCAAATTCTCGTCTCGCCAGACCTCCTCCTCAGACATCTGGCCGCTCCATCTTTTTCGATGCGTGGGCCCCAAAAAGGTCTGGACCCACTTCCCTAGGGCCGGCTTGTCATCCCGAGTGGCTTTTGACGGTCCCGAGGCCCAACGAGGGCCCCCGGAGGCCGACAACGGCCCAGGCCCCGCCGCTCCGATCCTCTTTGAGCATCGGATCTCTGGCTCTGGACGGGCGTGGAAACCACCGTCCGGGGCCCACCGTCCCCCCCCCGCCGCACCGGCCCGGAAGCGCGGCCGTGGCCCGGCCGATCGCAAGAGGAGGGGCAACGATGTGCGGCTACGTACCGGCACAGGGGTGGGAACAGCGACCCGGAAGCGGCGATGCACACCGCCGAGGCATCGGCGATGGGCCCCCGATGGCAATCCCCGCGCTCCTGCGCGAGGGTGGGGCCATGGGGCCCCGTCTCGCCGATGAGTGGGCGACGGAGGATTTCAAAAAAAAACGAAGGATTGCAAAGAAACCTTCGAGGGATTGCAATCCTTCGTTTTTTTGCAATCCTTCGTTTTTTTTTTGTTTTTTTTTTTTTTGCAATCCTTTGCAATCCTGGGGTCGATGCATCGTCCCCCCCCACACTTCTGTCTCCTCCTGTCGCTGCTCCTGACCACAGAGCATGGCGCTGCAGGGCTCGGCCCGGCGGGGCAAAGGGGGGGCTGTGGCTTCAGCTGCTCGTGCTTCCGCTGCTGCCCCGGTGCTGCTTGCCCCTGTTTCTCCGTCCAGCCTGCGCCACGACCACCCTTCAGGGGGAGAAGGAGGGGTGGGGGGGGGGAGGGAACACCCACCGGCATCAAACTGTGATGACTGTGATGGCGATGCGATGGCGCCATCTTTCTCCCGGATTTCACAGCCGATCTCACCATCGATCTCACCATCGCTCTCGACATCGATTGCACTATCGACATCGCTATCGATCTCACCATCGACCTCAATACCGATCACATGAGAGATACCACGATCGACCTCACAAGGGATCTCACGAGACACCATCGGGACAGCACGATGGAGCACCCCCAACCACGGCGGGGCATCTCGAGCCAAAGATGTGTTGTGATCGACCTCGCTATCGATCTCTCGATCTCGCGATCGATCTCACGATCACGATCGATCACGCAATTGATCTCACTGTCGATCTCACGAGCTGCCATCGAGACACCACGCCGGGACACCGGGAGCCACCGTCGGGACACCCCGCGCCACCGACGGGGCACTCCGCGCCACCGACGGAGCCCCTCCGGCGCCACCGACGGGGCACTTGGCGATCGATCTCACGATCACGGTCGATCACGCAATCGATCTCACTATCGATATCATAGCTCATCTCACGAGCTACCATCGAGACACCAAGGCGGGACGCCCGGAGCCACTGTCGGGACACCCCGCGCCACCGACGGGACATCGACGGGGCACCGAAGGGACATCGACGCGCCACCCACGGGACACCCCCGTCCACCGCGCGTCGGACAATCGGCTCCACAGCCCCTGGCCACGGCGGCATCATTCCTCTCGCCCGCCCACGCAACTTCGCCCCGCCCGCACGCACGACACGAACACGAAACCGAAACCGATTTCCCGCTGGGAGGCTCTCCGTTCCACTGCGATCTCACCCCCCAACCTGCGCTACACAGACACACGTCAGCGAGTTTTCCCCCGTGCCTTGAGGGAAGGGTGTGGTGTCAAAAATTCCTGGCCCTCCGTGGCGGTTTATACAAGGCCACCCTCCGCCGAGATCCAGTCCAGGAGCAATCCACTGGGGGTTGCCTGCGTATATGTATTCTCTTGTGGCGGACAGCCCACCCAGCCGTGCACCCCGCTCACAGATCCCTCTGAGAGGTCATCGTAAATCGCCGCCGCCCCCCCACCCCGAAGGGGGGGATCGGGGGGTGAATGGTGTTAGGTCGGGCGTGTCCTCCTACAGGCGGATTTTTGGGGGACAAAATTGAAAATAGTTAAACATAGTCAACATAATTCAAACATAATCTAAAACAACGTCCCCAGACTATTCTTCTACTATTTTCGAATGTTCCTCCTGTAGAGGGACAGGCCAAACTTGAGAATGGTGTGTGTGTGTGTGTGTTGAGCGAACCGTCTCGGCGAGCAGAGGCCTCGCCGCCGACCTCCGCGGATGCGCCGCCGAGGTCGCCGAGACGACAGGGCGTGGCAGGGAGCTCGCTCTTGGAGTCTATGTTCGTTAGCTCTCTGCTCGGGCGTTGGCAGAGCTGGGTTTTGTGGAACCTGGTTTGGTGATATGTACTGGGGGACGCCCCCCCCCCTCGCCCCTTTCCACTATCCGGAACTGCCGTCACCCGAAAAAACACCAGCTACGGCAGACCTGGTTTAGCGATTGAGCTCTGGGGCCCTACTGCTAACCGGGTCCTCTTACCTGGGGTCCTGGCTATACCCGATCTGCGAGGGGTGAGTGGAGCAGGGACCGGGGCTCGACCAAGACGGTGTCTTTCGTCTTCGTTTTGCCTTCGGCTCCCCTCGTTTCGTCTTTGTCCCGCCTTCGCTGCAAAACCAAGCCAAAACGAAAACGGTCCACGAAATCGCCAAAACACCGCTTAGGTCGAGCCCTGGCAGGGACCGACCGTACCGGTATCCCCGTAGGCCAACCGAAATGTCTTCAGGACGACATGGCGGTATCATAAAACAGAATCGTTTCTTGGGCTCTGCCGTTTCTTCTACCTTTCTTATCGATGGGTACGGACCATGTGACCACTGATGATGCCGCTTCGTACTTCATACAGTATCCTATGTCCTGGTACCTATCGTTGTATTTACGGTTGATGCTCTTGGATTCCACTCCGTAGGAAAATCATTTCCGAGTGCCGCATCGGGCGCCCCACCTGGCCCGCCCGGGGCCCAACGCGAGCCGCCGAATGGTACCTGAGATGCGATACAATCGCTTGCAAGCGTGTGTGAGCGTGTGTGTGGTGTGTGTGTGTGTGCGTGTTTTTTTTTTTGTTGTTTCTCTCTCTCTCTCTCTCTTTTTCTCTCTCTCTCTCTATACCCCTCTCTCTCATTCCCTGTCTCGAAGGATCTACTAGGACTTCTCTACCTCTCTCGCTCTCTGTCTCTGTCTGTCTGTCTCTCTCATATGCATATGCGGATGCCCTGTCTCACCATCACCCCCTTCCTCGTAACTATCATCCTAACTGTGCTTCTCCAACCGGCGCTGTACTTCTCCTCCTGCCCCCCTCTCTTCCGCAGTCCTCGGTGATAACTGGGGGCGAATTCATTGCCAACTGGACGGGCGGCCACTGCCTCAAGACCTCTGCAATTCAAAGAAAGGCGAGGGGAAGGAGGATTACGGAGAGAATGGGGATGGAGGAATATAACTACGACGACGAAGTGTTCGCATGCGTGAAACATGGAAATCAAAGAGCTCAATTCTTGCAGCAAGCTGCTCTGGAAGCACTGTCTATCCGTCGACCTCACCCTCTGTCTATTGATCTCGCAACCTACTCCATTATGAGAGAGCGTGCCCGTGGTACACTCGCGAAGGGCGCGCTCCCCCCTGTAGCTACCTCCCTGCCCCCTTGGACCTCCCCTGCAGGAAGCCCTCCCCCCCCCTCCTGTTTTCCGCCCCTCGGAAGCTACCCCCCCTCCTCCCTGTCCAAAGAAGGAGTGGGGGGCTGAACTCCCCCGCCACGCTTGGACCTCCCCTGCCGCAAGCACCCCCCCCTGCTCCCCTTTCGCGCTCCGGAAGCTGCCCCCCCTCCCTCCCATTCCAAACGGAGGGGGGGGCTTAGCTCCCCCGCTTTGAACCCCCCCTGCTGGAGGCGCCCCCCCCCCCTTCCCCCCCTTTCGGGCTGAAGAGGGTGGGGGGGCTTGGACCATCCCCCCCTTTAGCTAAGGGAAGGGGCGCCGAAGACCAACAGTGCGCCGAAAACCAACAGGGCGTCTAAAACCAAAGAGCCACCGAGACCCGAAAGGGTGCGAAAACCAAAAACGTGTCGAAAACCGAAGGAACGCCGAAAACGGAAAGGACGCCGAAAACGAAAGGGGCGTCGAAAGCAACAGGGCACCGAAAACAAAAAGGGCGCCGAAAACAAAAATGGCGCCGAAAATCAAAGGGGCGGCGAAGATCAAAGAGGCACCGAAAATCAAAGAGGCGCCGAAAACCAAAATGGGCGCCGAAAAACCAAAGACGCGCCGATAACCAAAAGGGCGTCGAAAACCAAAGGGCGAGAAAAAGAAAAACGGCGCGCCGAAGCCGAAGGGGGCCGACAACCAAACGGGCGCCTAAAACCAAAGAACGCCGAAAACCAAAAGGGCGCCGACAAATAAAGGGGCGCCGAAAACCAACAGAGCGCCGAACACCCAAGAGGCGCCGGAGCCTAAATGGGCGCCGAAAACCAACGATGCGCCGAAAACCAAAGGGCGCGCAGAAAACCAAAAGGGGCGTCGAAAACCAAAGGAGCGCCGAAAACCACAGGAGCCCCGAAAACCAAAAGAGCGCCGAAAACTAATGGAGCGCCTAAAACCGAAAGGGCGCCAAAGGCCTAATGGGCGCCGAAAACCAAAGACGTGCCGAAAGCCAAAGAGACGCCGAAAACCACAAGTACGCTGAAAACCAAGGAGGCGTCGTAAATCAAAGCAGAAAGGTAGCTTCGAAGCCCCCCCTTCAGCCAGTGCCCTCCAGCTGGAAAAGCCAACAGAAGGAGGGGAGATGGAAGTAGCTTCGGTTGCCCCCCACCCCTTTGGAAAGGGCAGCTTGGGCTTACCCCAGGCCCCGAAAAGGGGGGAGGGGGTAGCTTCCAAGCCCCCCCCTCTTTCCTTTTGCCAGAGCCTTTCCAGTTACAACATCAAAATGAAAGGAATGGGGTGTAGCTTCGGAAGCCTCCCCCCCTTGAAAAGAGAGCCCGGGCTGACCCCGGGCCCCGAAAAGGGGAGAGGGGGGGGTGTAGCTTCCAAGCCCTCACCCCTTTTAGCTAGCCCCCCCCTCCATCTAAACAAATCCCACAAAAAAGAGTGAGGGGGGCGGGTAGCTTCGGAAGCCCACCCACGAGAGGGTGTGTGTGTGTGTAGCTAGAAGCTGGGGCCCCCCTGTTAGGGAGAAGTGTGCCACGAGCGCACTCTTTCCTACTTGCCGACGTAAACATCCATCTATCGACATCACTATTGGTCTCACTATCTACAAATCGAGCCCGATATGAAAAAACAAGCAGCCCTCTGGGCGTGAGTGGTTTAGGGAGTTTCATCTTCAATTTTCCTTCTTTCACTTCGGGGAAGGGTTCATCCCTCCCCCTACCCCCCCCTCCTTTGGACCTGGACAGGAGGGGCCGCGACCCATTGAAGCGTCCAAGAAGGATTCGGCTAGAAGGCCACAACCATACATTGTACGTAAGTTTTGGGCAAACGGTTTGGCCTCCTGGGGGTGGGTGGGAGCGGGATGGGGGGGCTAACTGACCACCCCTTCTTCTTTGATCGATGTCCCCAAGGATGGCCCAAAGAGGGCCCAAGAGGCTCCCAAGAGTGCCCCGAGAGGCGCCCAGGAGGCCACAAGAGGCCCCCACTATGTCACCAAGAGGCTGCCAAGAGACCCCAAAGAGGCCCAAGAGGCTGCTTCGAGGCATCGAAGGCGCTCAAGGAGGCCCCCATGACCGCCAGGAGGCCCCCACGACGCCGCAAGAGGACTTCAAGAAGCTCTCAAAAGACGTCCGAAGAGACTCCGAGTGGCATTCAAGATGCCTCTGACTATTCTGCTCGCCCTCCTCCTCCTCCTGCGCCTGTTCTTCCTCCTCCCTCCTCCCTTTTTCCCCTCCCTCTCTCCTTCCTCCTCTTCTTTCTCCTCCTCCTCCGATTCCTCCTCTATCCTCCCCCTCTTGGGGTATGGCGGCTTCCCCAACACGCTATTCCACTGCATGCTCCTCCACATCCCGGATCAGCAAGTTGGCTTGGGCATCGTTTCTCTATGGTCTGGTAGGGTTACGCTACGCGTCTAGAATATGTCGGTCTCTAGATTCAGATTCCAAACGATACCTTTTTTATGTATATACCTTTCTCGCTTTCAGCACCATTTCAGGGTGCATTAAAGTCCACATCCACTTGCGATTCGATGTGCATGTTGACTTGACTGCCGATGTGCATGTCACTTGGAGTGTGGAATTGTATGTCGATTGCAACCGAATCCGTTTTCAGAATTGTACGTATTCATATTCCTGTTCGTCAATGCACCCCGATTTGAAAGTTTACTTAATTTTCAATACAAACTTACATGTTCAGGTCGATCGGATTCCCGATTTACATTTCGATGTGCCTCTTGCTTGCAAGTGCAGTTGCATTTCAATTTGCATTCCGATTGCACTCGGATTTCCATTCCGAATTGCGCTTCCCACGGGACAACCGCGAACCAACCCACGGGACAACACGCGGGACAACCACGGGATAACAACGAGACGACCAACGGGCCGACCAACGGGACACCCCTCGGGGCCATAACCCACACGAGACAGTCCATGGGACGAACACACGGCAGCACACGGGACAACCACGGGACAGCCGCGGGAAACCCGTGGGACAACGTTTGATGGACAAACAATCCTGCACCTTTTATGCTGAATTTTGTGGGCACCCTCCGCGCTCCAAATGTGTCGAGCTGTCGACTGGCCGAAACCCTGAGCCCCGCTGGCGATGCCAACCAACGTTGAATCGGGGGCAGGGGTGCGCGTTGAAGCTTGTGCCAGCACCCCGGTCGCGCGGAGGTGCAGGATTTTTTTACGAGTAGAGCCACTGAGCAAGCGTGTGAGAACCACTACGGGCCAAGACACATTTTCCGACTTGGACCTAGCAGCGCACCACATTGCCGCCCTCGCGCAACTTCGTCTCGCCCGCACGCCCGAGACACATCGAAACTGATTTCCCGGTTGGGGCAACTTCGTTCTCACCCTCCAACCTCCAAGCGCATCTTTTGTCCCTGCACCTCAATCTCGCATCACAAGGCGCACAAGCCCAATCTCAATCCCAATATCGAAATCCTGGGTGATCCCTGACATCTCATCAATATCTGGTTTCGACGCGGCACTCGCGCGCAACAGCCATTGATCGCGCAAAACCAAGCTCACTTGCACCTCGCTCCGTGACTCGTCTGCGGAGCCTTTCGCACTCGAATTCTCGAAGAGGCGACGAAGGAACGACAAGGCAGAAAGGAGGCAACGAAATGAGGTTACAGAGACAAATGGGGATGCAAGGCGCTTGGAAAGCAGTCAAATGGCAGGTCAACCGACCCTGGCTTGACGGGGGCGGCAAGGCGCGCGCGCGCGCGCGCGCGCGCGTGCGTGCGTGCGTGCGTGCGTGCGTGCGTGCGTGCGTGCAGGGTGTGCGGGGTGTGCGGGTGTGGGTGGCGCGTGCGTGCGTGCGTGCGTGCGGGGTGTGCGGGGTGTGCGGGTGTGGTGGTGTGGGGTGCGGGGTGTGGTGCGGGGTGTGGGTGCGGGTGGGGGTGGGGGTGTGGGTGTGGGTGTGGGGGTGTGTGGGGTGTGTGTGTGGGGTGTGTGGGGGGTGTGGGGTGTGGGGGGTGTGTGGGGGTGTGTGTGGGGGTGTGTGGGGGTGTGTGGGGGTGTGTGGGGGTGTGTGGGGGTGTGGGGGTGTGTGGGGGTGTGTGGGGGTGTGTGGGGGTGTGTGGGGGTGTGTGGGTGTGTGGGGTGTGTGTGTGGGGTGTGTGGTGTGTGGGGGTGTGGGTGGGTGTGTGTGGGTGTGGGGGTGTGTGGGGGTGTGTGTGGGTGTGTGTGGGGGTGTGTGTGTGGGGGTGTGGGGGTGTGTGGGGGTGTGTGGGGGTGTGTGGGGGTGTGTGGGGGTGTGTGGGGGTGTGTGGGGGTGTGTGGGGGTGTGTGGGGGTGTGTGGGGGTGTGTGGGGGTGTGTGGGGGTGTGTGGGGGTGTGTGGGGGTGTGTGGGGGTGTGTGGGGGTGTGTGGGGGTGTGTGGGGGTGTGTGGGTGTGTGTGTGTGTGTGTGTGTGTGTACGTGCGTGCGCGTGTGTGTGTGTGTGTGTGTGTGTGCTTGAAGTGGGAGGGGGGGTGGCGAGCTTGCCAACGCACGTCTCAGTCCTTAGGAGCTCCACGGATTGCCCGAGATGGCCAGCGATAACCCCTACGACGGCCCCACGGATCTCCTCGGAACGTACAAACGAAGCCCATCAAAACCAGTGCTCATGAAACACATCTGGTCTGGGTCACACGGTTTGGTGTGCTCGCCTTTCTTCCTTCACATGGGCCCCGAAAACTTTATCACGGTCTCGGTCTGGAAGGGCCCACGGACGCCTGGGTCATGACAGA